CTATTCCCACTACACCACACATTTTTGATTTATCTCCGGAGCATTACTACATGTTATGGACAATACTTACCCTATTTCCTACCGTTAGTTTGTGTGTGTACCTGTTCATCCTGGTCTCCTTAGTTGTCCTTCCCTGGTTGTAAGTATTACGCACCCTGTTATGTTGTTACTTTGTTGTTGTTGTTTTTTCCAATAAACCCCCTTTTTGTACTAGCACCTGGGTCAGCAATCTTGAGTCCAACCCCTAGTTCTCCCTCCCCCTCCTGGTGAGGGGGACTAACCATAACAATCCCCCCACACAGAGAACAGCAACTTTCCCTGTGCCTGTTATCATATGTGTGTATGTATCAGAGAGTCATTTGTTTGGTTGAGAGGAGTCTCTGTCTCTGCTCCAGCCGGAGGGAAATTAAAAAGGAAATGGGAAAATAGAGGAGACAACTGCTACTAACTAAACTTTTCATATTCTCCCTGCGCCTGCATGGGTCCTCTTTGGGTGCTCTGGCTTCATCCTACAGTCCAAAGATATGCAGCTAATTTTCTGATCATGCAACTGGTTTTATACGAAAACACATTAATATAAGTTTTTTGTAGCTCCCCCTGCAAAAAAAAAACAAACAAAAAAAAAAACAGCGATACAGATACATGAACTTGGATGTTCTTCATACCTGTATGTATGAGAGAAGCAAACATCAAAGCATGCCTGCTACCATTTATGGCCTTGTGCATGACAGTGTCTGCATTTTCCTTTTGGAAGGTGTGTATGATTGTCATTTCTGCCTATTGATTGTTTGTTGAAGAGACAAGGCAAACCATATGGATGAGCAGTACAGTGAGTTCTGTTTTCACTATGGACAAGGACATAGATAAGTTGTCCATTGCTTTACCGTCCACAGTTTCATTATCTAATGTATGCTGACTGTTTCAGTTTGGGCAACCCAAAGACACCAATAAACTGAAAAAGAGGTGAGAGCTATATAAAATCAGTTTAGTACAATTTCTGTGATAATGTTGAGATGACCCCTACAGTCCTACAGTATGCATCTGTGTTTATCAATAAAACAAAGTGTCACATTCATTATAAGTAACTTTAGATGTACACACACAATCAGCCTTAACAGTGTAACCAATTACATAATACTGTTTACACAGTAGTCAAAGTGAGTTGATTGGCAGTTGTGTCACTCTGCAGCTCACTGTGCAGCATCTGTGAATCTAATTGCTTCCATAGTTCTACTGTTATGAAGAGCACATGTCTGTCATTCAGTGAAGAATCTAAAAGGAGTAAAAACTGTGGCCTTGAGGACAAGTTAGAAATTTTTTAGACAAATTCAGAAGCCTCTTCACTCCATGTGTGATATTACCACTATAGCTGCCAATGCACAGCATTCCACTAATTTTAACAAAGGTTCAAACAAATTTTAATCTTTTCAAGGTGCAAATGAAACTTAAAATTTTAATGTACAGTAGGTTGACTTCAGTAGGTGAGCCGTGGGTATCCATGACCCTTGTCGCCTGATCACTCTGTCCTTCCTTAGACCACTGTTAGTTTGTACTGACCACTGCACACCAGGAACACCCAATTAGACCTGCAGTCTTGGGAGATGCTCTGACCCAGTTGTAAACCCTCACAGTTTAGCCCTCGTCAAAGTCACTCATATTCTTCACTCATAACAATTTTTCCTGGTTCCAACGCATCAAATGAACGTTCACTTGCTGCCTAATATACCCCCACATGATGACAGGTGCCACTGTAACAAGATAGTCAAATGTTATTTATTTCACTTGTCAGTGGTCATAATGTTATGGCTGATGATTGTAAAGAGATACAAAAAACTAAGCTTAAACACTACAGGCTATGTTCAGTTTTAAATGCTGCTTTCCTCTCATGAAAATTTCAGACTTGCAGTTTACCTAGTCTTAAATCCTACTATGTATATCCAATATACATGTAATGCATTATTTAAAAACAAATCCAGACTTGTTAAAAACAACAAATATATTTTAATAAAGAACACTCAACATGCCTGGCTTCACAGTACACTATAATCTGCCTCCTCACAGATTTTTAATTATGACGCATTTTTTGCACAAACATATTACACACAACAGTATCTTCAACATTACAGATCATATAGCATTAAA